GATAGGGATTTTTAAGACACCAATGAATCACACAGTACTTGTATAAATAGATACAAAAACATTTTATTAAACAAAAAAACAAATTAAAAAACAAAAGAAACAACGGCTGATGGATGAAAATGGTACCTAATATATAAAAGATTGCCCTTCGATAATTACACAAAGGCTATTGAAATAGCCACATTTTTGCATAAACCCCAACATATTTAAATGTCATCAAATCTTCATCTGGGGGAGTAGGCAGTCAATCTAAAATATGAAATATGAAAATACAGATCTGAACAGTAATAAAGTCATCACATACACACTCACCACCGTCCACTTTATTAGGTACACCTGTTCAATTGCTTGGTAACACAAATTGCTAATCAGTGAATCACATGACAGCAACTCAATGCATTTACGCATCTAGACATAGTGAAGTTCAAGCTGAGCATCAGAATGGGGAGGAAAGGGGATTTAACTGACTTTCAATGTGGCATGGTTATTGGTGTCAGATGGGCTGGTTTGCTGATCTACTGGGATTTTCATGCACAACCATCTCTAGAGTTACAGAGAATGGCCCCAAAAAGAGAAAATATCCAGTGAGCGGCAGTTTTTGTGGACGAAAAGGTCTTGATGATGTCAGAGGAAAATGGGCAGACTGGCTGCTTTGACATTCAGATGGTAGGGTCAGAATTTGGTGTAAACAACATGCTTGAGGTAATTGTAGCCGTATCAGTGCACTTGCGACAGAAACAATTGAGTACTGACGTGATACTTTTTTTTTTATTTGCACTAACATACAATTTTGAGGACAAGCTTTCGGGGTATGTCCCCTTCTTCATGAGTACTGCCTGGACCTTGAAGAAGGGGACATTCCCCCGAAAGTTTGTCCTCAAAATTGTATGTTAGTGCAAATAAAAAAAGTATCCCGTCAGTACTCAGTTGTTTCTGTGTAAACAACATGAAAGCATGGATCCATCTGCCTTGTATCAACGGTTCAGGCTGGTGGTGGTGTAATGGTGTGGGGGATATTTTCTTGGCACTAGCAAGGTGTACCTGATAAAGTGGCCGGTGAGTGTACATACAAAGCTTCTGTGACATCGATGTATAACCAGATGTACATAAAATAGTATAACATCAGTATTAATCAGTCAAAATGTGTCCATATATCAATGATAACCCCCACAGTGTAAAGCCAATGGAGTGCAACGGGCGCTAGGAATCCCCATGGGAATCTTCATAAAGGATCATGAATATTTATCCACCATAGTATTCAAAACCAAAGACTAATGACACAGATGCACCAATGATAATCTTACCTAACCATAAGCGGGGGCAAGATGTTCTAATCTATTGAGTCCACCCAGGAGCACCCCATATCTTCATAAAACAACGGTTTAGTGTGTATCCACTAATAATTTCCAGGATCAATCATATACAGTAGGGAAAAACAGATACCTCACAAAAATGTAAATTCTTTGATATCTTAAAAATCCCATTTTGATTTCTCCTTTTTACTTAGTATAACTAGGGATGTGGCGCCCTGTAATGATCAGGCCATCATTTGGCATGTTTAAACACTAGATGTTACAGCAACCAAACAACAGTTGCTTTCTTCTACTGCAGTCAAATGCAAACCACCAGGACAGATTCCTCTGGTTGACACCTCTGCTTTTCCTTTCCTCTGGATTTTATACCTAAGTCCCATAACGTTTGTGAGATTTGTCTCTGCCTGGAGTTTGCATGTTCTCCTTGGGCCTACATTGGTTTCCTCCGTGTACTCACACATACCAAAGACGTGCTGGTCTATTCATTGGCTCCTGTCTAAATTGGCCCTTATATGTGAGAGTTAGAGACCTCAGATTGTAAGCTCCAAGAGGTCAGGAACTGATGTGAATGTACAATACATATGTAAAGTGCTGTGTTTATTGCCAACACTATATAAATACCTGAAAAAAAAATGTCTATTGAAGAAGAGGATTAAAATTGAAGTAAAGCTGCTAAATGGCCGATTCTACCCCACAGCAGAGACTGTGTCAGTAACTGGTCTTTTGGTCACATGGCGGGCTACTTGAGGATCATATACAGTAGGGAAAAACAGATACCACACAAAAATGTAAATTCTTTGATATCTTAAAAATCCCATTCTGATTCTCCTTTTTACTTAGTATAACTAGGGATGTGGCGCCCTGTAATGATCAGGCCATCATTTGGCATGTTTAAACACTAGATGTTACAGCAACCAAACAACAGTTGCTTTCCTCTACTGCAGTCAAATGCAAACCACCAGGACAGATTCCTCTGGTTGACACCTCTGCTTTTCCTTTCCTCTGGATTTTATACCTAAGTCCCATAACGTTTGTGAGATTTGTGAAATGAGTTACTACTTCAGCTTACACACCTCAGTGGACATAGAATATTTCAGTTACTCTCAAGACTTGACTGTCAAGAAAGCTTAGTTCCTACACTTACATGAAACGATAATTCACTTCAGTGAGTGTCACATTTATCACGAACCACATTATTCCTGTCAAAAATGTGAAAATAATGAGGTCAGTACACAGCACACTGTAATGGAGTAAGATGTGAAGCTCTTATATTGCTTGGACTCTGACAACAACAATGGCTTGTCAGCCTAAAAGATCATTCTGCAATTGCAGAGCTCTGTTTTTAGAAATGGTTCTGCAATCTTTGTGGAATGGAATCCAATCACTGACATGGAGGTTACCATAAAACAATGCCAATGCGATTTTTATGGTCATGCTAAATGTCAGTAGGTGTAATCCAAAACTACAGCAATTTGTCCAAACAAACTGGGAGCTTTGGAAGACGTACCAAAATCAGGGTATCCCAAAAACGTCCTTTAAGCCAAACTTATGGTTTGTTTCAACATCTGAAACCAGCAGCACAGGAAAAAAAGCCATCGTACCCCACACATTTTTACTTTTTTGGGTTCCATAGTATCCTGATCAACGGGTAATTTTTTGGCCTTCTTATCAACTTTCTGTTGGTCATGAAGTGTGATGGGTGGTTTCACTGGTCTTCAAGGAGAATGAGAAAGGTCAGCCACAATACGATCATGAGAGAGCTGCTTATCAGTTGTTAAAAAAAGTATTTTCAACTTTCATGATGCTGGGGTGCCTGGGAAAAGTACATGTGTGAAGCGTCCCCCCCCCCCGTTGCTGGTTACATTTGTTAAAAGCACCCACGTGTACACTTTAAGATATAGCACCCTCCTAGTTAGGCTAGGTGGATTTAGTTCTTTTAGCTCCACTATAATCAATTGAGCAGTTTTTGATTATTTTGGGCTATTCTGTGTCTCACTGGTTGCAGACTTGACTGTTCCCCCTGCCTTCTGGAGGGTTCTGGAATTAACTGGTCTGGAAGAGTTAAAGTGTTATTAAACCCAGGACCCTGCATTCATTCTATCTGGTCTCCCACAGTACAAACAACATGGAACTGCTAAATATCTTTTCTCACCAGCAGTTAAAGCAGTCTAGTGACTTTTATCAGTGTTCAGTAGAGCACTGGTTAAAGCTTGAAGGAGGAGTTTTCTTTCTGCTCTAGGAAGATGCAGAACCCCTGACCTCTATCTGGACAGTACTGATTGGCCCTGTGCTGATCACATGTACCCTCCCAAGAAAAAAAAAACAACCTCTCTAGCAATACACACCAAACTGAGCATGTGCAAAGTGTCTCCACACAATATGTTTTATCAGGAGATAAGAGAAGGGCATTGGAAGAGGAGGAGGATCAGATAAGTCAGGATCAAACAGCATCTTTACACAATGTAGAGAATTAACCTCTTAGGCTCCACAGTGAGTATAACAAGCATGCTTTACTGCATATACAGACTGATTTTTACTGTTGTGGGTTTAGTAACACTTGAAACAGGCAGTTTGAATATTTATGTGATGCCAGCCAATCCCTGGGTGAGGGTTCCCAGTAGGTGGCTAGGAGAGTGCATAAATTGTTTGAGGCCTACAGCAGAACAGCTCTTGTCCAGGAGGAGAAGGTCCCAGCCAGAAGGGCTGCTGCCTTTCTGGGCAGTCAGCTGTGTTTTTCATCTGCTCATTGAGGTCTCAGCTGTGTTAGCTGGGGAGGTCTGTTCTACTGAACTTTCCTGGAGTTGATCGGGGGGATTCTTCTGGAGATTTGGCCTGAACAGCCCACAGGAACATGTCTGGCTGATTTTGGAAGGAGGCATCCAAATATCCAAGGATATTTGTGAGTACAAACGGTGTGCGACCCCAATGACTGTTTGCTGCTACTGTCCCTCTGGCATCAGAGTCAGTTTGTGCTTAAAGGTGGATGTTTCATATGGTGTCCCTGTGTAGTTCAGTCCATCATTTGCTGCTCAATTACTGTGCAAGGAAACTTTAAGAATGATAAAGGTGTCCTCAAGTTACCACTTAGCATTGCTGGAGTATCCCACAGTTACCCCACACTCATCCATCCTCAAGTTTAATAAAGCATCCAAAAAAAGGATACCCCTAGACTAATCATTGAGCCAGACACATGACTGAGACTGTGCGTCTGGATGCTAGTCCACTATCTTTGGAAAGAACCTTGGGACCAATCAGTGGGCCCTTTAGGGAGTGAGCAGTACAAATATATAGTGTACATTTGAAGATTAGTATTGTTTTAGTATAAATTAATGTATGTATGCTATAACTGCTGCCTACAACAAACAAAGGCAGCAAATGTTGAAGTTAACCTGTAGCTAACAGACGAGGGCATGAAATGAAATTTGCCCATACACGCAGACACTGTATATAGCCTGCACATAGTGCCAGTTTAAAAGGTAAGTTCACCTTTAAAAAAAAAAACCTACCTACTGTATGCAGGCAAGGGGCACATTTAATTAAAAACAAACTGTGCAGTTTTGACCAAAATAGACTAATGCCCTTTCTGTAAGTAAAAGCCATTTAGATACCTCTGGAAGCCTGGCCAGAAAACTCGCATAGAAAGCATCATCCCTTTCCAGGCAATTCAAACCTCCTCACATGCACCCTCTCACCCAAACACCGGTCACAGCAGCCCGATATGAGCAGATACCACATATGTGCAGGGGTTTGAGCAGTTTCGGACTGACAACTCATGGGACCCCCGGGCAATAGGGGATCATGGGGCCCCTGTGTCCTTGCCCAAACTTAAAAAAGCCTATGAAAAAGGTACCAGGGGCATCTCATGGGGCCCCCTACTGACCCCGGGCCCTTGGGCAGTGCCCAAGTTTCCAAATGGTCAGTCCCCCCCCTGGTTTTGAGAGCTCACTTTTGTGATGGTGGAGGCAAACAGTAATGGCTGGAAAAATCTTAGCAATGTCCAAGCACCAAGGCAGGAGGGGATGATGGCATTTCTGGGAGTTTTTTTGGCCAGGCTTTGGGAGGTACGTCAACAGCCTACACCTATAGCAGGGGGATTATCCAATTCTAATCGAATTGTGGTGCATAGTATGTTTTTATCTACTAGCACCCCTTTCATTCATAGGCAATTTTTTATGGAAAAGATAAATTAACCCTTAAAGTCTTAGTCTATCTACTGCATCTGCAAAGGCCTAATGGCCAGGCCTGATTGTCTATGTAGTCACCAAGTACTGTGTTGACAGATGCAGGACAGTGGCACACCTATTCCCCATAAACAGGTAGAGAGCAACTAGGTGTGGAGATTTGTGTAGCACCTGAAGAGCAATGGGGAGATGGACACTAAAGTATCCTATGTGGTGACAGCATATGGTGCTGCTTTTATGTGAAGACCTCAATCAATAAACTCATGACAACAGATGCTTCGGTGAGCTGATTAAATGTGGATACAATGAAGGCTGTATCTATTCAAGTGAATATTTATTACATTTTAAGTAATGATACAGAGAAAATCAAACAGTTGTTAAAAATGTGTCAAAATTCTATAGTCTTATCACAAACATTTATTGGAATGAGAAAAGAAAAAGATAAAAAGGAAAGGTAAGGGACTGTAGGGTATTTATCATGAGTTAAAAAAATTCAAACTTGTAACGCTTATATAAAGATTTAAAGGATGGCTAAATAAGAAAAGGAACCCAGACCTTCCAGAAATCATCTATTTTAACAATTACAATAGGAAGATTGAATTTTGGTATAAAATGGCTGCTACAGGGACATCACAGGGTTTATTTACTAAAGCTGGAGAGTCCAAAATCAGACTCCCTTCTGCATAGAAACCAATCAGCTTCCAGGTTTCATTGCTAAAGCTTCATTGAACAAGCTGAGGTTAGAAGCTGATTGGTTTCTATGCAGAAGGGAGTCTGATTTTTTGGACTCTCCAGCTTTAGTAAATAAACCCCCACTAGTCTCCTGTGACTTAAAATGATGCCTTGGCATATAGGCCGGTTCACAATGGTTCTCATCTTGGGAATTAGTATAATAGCACATGAACAGTGATTCATAATGCAAAATGATCATCTCTGTTATGCAGTTGGTTTTTCATAAATCAAAAAGTGGTGAATGTGCAGTTTGGCTTATAACATAGAAGGATTAATAAACAGCACTGGTTTTCCATGGATTAATGGATTGCCTTTCATTGACTTATGCAGGCCATAGACCAGCAATGGGCAAACTACGGCCCGCGGGCCGTATACGGCCCGGCGGACCTTTTAATCCGGCCCGCGGAGCTAGGCTCCCGCAAGGCCAGTGGTCGGCAAGCCGCGGCTCTTTACAATAGATGCGGCTCTCCTGTGTGCCGGGCGCCCGCTCCCCTCCCTCCTCTCTCCACTCGGGCGGGCGGGCGACCTCCTCTCCTCCTCTCCCCCCTCCCCTCCTCTCGGATGGCCGCCCCCTCCCTCCTCTCGGGCGTCAGGACTCTGCAGCTGTCAGGATGTAGGCGGGGCAGCCAGGATGTAGGCGGGGGCAGCGTGACGAACTCTTTCTCTCACAGTCCTCCCTGAAGACCAGAACGGCGCGGGAATACGAGAGGAACGCGCGGAGGAGCAAAGGTAAGTGAATTGACACAGGGGGGACTTACTATATGGGGGACTTACTATATGGGGGACTTACTATATATGGGGAATGAATTACTATATGGGGGACTTACTATATGGGGGATGAATTACTATATGGGGGACTTACTATATGGGGGATGAATTACTATATGGGGGTCTTACTATATGGGGAATGAATTACTATATGGGGGACTTACTATATGGGGAATGAATTACTATATGGGGGACTTACTATATGGGGAATGAATTACTATATGGGGGACTTACTATATGGGGAATGAATTACTATATGGAGGACTTACTATATGGGGAATGAATTACTATAGGGGGGACTTACTATATGGGGAATGAATTACTATATGGGGGACTTACTATATGGGGGAATGAATTACTATATGGGGGACTTACTTTATGGGGAATGAATTACTATATGGGGGGACTTACTATATGGGGAATGAATTACTATATGGGGGACTTACTATATGGGGAATGAATTACTATATGGGGGACTTACTATATGGGGAATGAATTACTATATGGGGGACTTACTATGATGGGGAATGAATTACTATATGGGGGACTTACTATATGGGGGACTTACTATATGGGGGATGAATTACTATATGGGGGATGAATTAATGTGGGGGATGAATTACTATGTGGGGGATGAATTACTATGTGGGGGATGAATTACTATATGGGGGATGAATTACTATGTGGGGGATGAATTACTATGTGGGGGATGAATTACTATGTGGGGGATGAATTACTATGTGGGGGATGAATTGCTATGTGGGGGATGAATTGCTATATGGGGGACGAATTGCTATATGGGGGGACGAATTGCTATATGGGGGACGAATTGCTATGGGGGATGAATTACTATATGGGGGATTAATTACTATATGGGGGATTAATTACTATGCTTACTATGGGGGAATATTACTATACTTACTATGGATGACACATACACATCATTCATCTACTCTTGGTCCGGCCCCCGGGTCCAATATATGAACCCATTGCGGCCCTCAAGTCAAAAAGTTTGCCCACCCCTGCCATAGACGGTTCGCAAATCGGCCGATTTTTCATCCGAAAGATTAATCGGCCAATTTCGCAGTGTTAGTGGGTTAATTCGTCAGCGGTTTTTCAGGTTTTTTTGCACTTTTGGATTATCAGTCATGTTGGAAAATTTGTGGAAAATTACCGATTTTCGCGGCAATGATGGCCAAATCGTACGATTGTTTTTGCAAAAGCCGTGACCTGAAAAATGACATAATTTCCTGTTATATGGCAGGATTTTTATGACTTGGTCGACCGATTTTTGTAATAATTGGTGGTTATGTCGTCGGTTTAACGAATGACCGATGTTTTGTTTATCAGACGGAAAAACACCCGGTTTTCGAGCCTTCTATGGCCTGCATAAAGATTGCGTATATACCAAAGCATTTCTACATCTGACATACAAATGTGAAAGCTGCAGCAAGCAAGGCCAGTGGGCTGTTGGCATGCATCAAAAAGGGTGTTTATTCCAGAGATAAAACTATAATTCTACCACTCTACAAAACTTTGGTTCAGCCACTTCTTGAGTATGTTGTCCAGTTCTGGTCACCAGTCCTCAGGAAGGATGTGATGGAACTGGAGAGAGTCCAGAGAAGGGCAAAAAAAGATATTAAGGGGCTGGAGGACCTCAGTTAGGTACTTCAGAAATCATTCAACTTATTTTCACTGGAGAAGAGACACTGAAGAGGTGACATGATTGCAATGTACAAATATCTTAATGGTGATTCCAACATTAAGGGCCAGTTCACACTACATGTGTTTCAGTTGCTTTTTTTTCTGCATCCAAAATGCACAGAAAGTTATATGGTTGTCAATGTCATAGTTCACATCAGTGCTTGCAGTTCCAGTGCATTCAAGTTTCAGAAAAAAAAGCAGAAAATGCTGCATTTTTTTCTGCACAGAACTGTACTGGAACACAGTAAAACACATAAAAAATGCACAGGAACGCACTGAAACGCACAAAAAATGCACTGGAATGCACATGCCCCTATTTAAATTGAAGAAAAAGAGAGGGGAAAAAAATTAACTGGAATGTATAAAAAAACACACAGGAACGCGTCAAAAACACACCGGAATGGGTCAAAAACGCGCATGCAGAAACACATCCAAAATGCATCTGGACTGCGTTTCTATAGTGGGAACCGGTCCTGAAAGGAAACGAATTGGTCTCAGGTCACTCAAGAAGACATCTGGCCATTCAATGAAGTTGGACGGGAAGCAGTTTACCCTTAAACTGTGTAGGGCTTTTTTTTTTTTTTTTTTTTTTGCTGTTAGGGTGGGTAAGATGTGGAACTCCCATCCACAATCGGTGGTGTCAGCGGGAAGTATGGATAATTTAAAAAGAAATTTTAGATGGACAGCTTTTCAAACACCATATACAGGGATATGGGAACTAGAAATAACATAATTATTTACACACACCCCACCCCATGCAGATTGAACTGGATGGACTGATGTCTTTGTTCAACCTAACCAACTATGTAACTATGAAACCTTTAGGCCTCGTTCATTAAAATGTTCGAAGGAGATTAACAATCCTTATCCATAGAACCCAATGAAGTTCCCTCATTGAAGCTCATCTCTAGGCAAATGTTATTTCCCCCTTTTCACTCACCCCTTCTGCCAGTTCACAATGTCACACCTTTATCTTCTCACCTGAATCACCTCATGTGTTCTACCCTGGCATCTCTTTGAAATGTGAAGTACATGACATATCTGAGGAAACTGACTCACAGAGAAGATCATACATTTATTTTCTCTATAATCTGACTAGCATCCCAGACCCTTACCTAGAGCTGTAATTGGTCACTACGGCTAGAGAGGTGTGGCCTGAGGAGTTGAAATGTTGACTTAGGATAGACAAGAAGCTTTTAGAAAGCAGTTTCAAGAGCAAAGTGATGAACAGCTAGGAGCTCCGTGCAGGTTCACTTGGGAAAGGTAGTGCATCATCCCAGCAGTTAATGGAACAAAGACTTGCAACTCAAGTAGATAGAAATGGTATACGAGCGCTAGAAATGCTTAAATTCAGAGAGAGATATAATCTTGAAGCATAAAAGCAGCTGGCATAAAAGGTAAACCTCAAACCCTCGTATGACAATAGTATATAGAAAATGCAGCGCTATAATACATAAAGGGTAAGTATAAAACCTCCTATGAGCATAAAATCTGTATCACATAAAATATTCATAAAATGCGTGTAAATAAATGCATATAAAACCAACTGATATGTTTTAGTCCAAGAGGAGTTAACACAAAAATGTCATTATCAATGCG